AATTTCAATCATCTGCTTCCCCTAATAAGAAGTAAGAACCCTAGCCGACCTTCAAAAAGTAGATAAACGTCAAGTTTCCTGTTGCACGAATTAATGACTCTTGATATTAGGTTTCCAAGCTCTAACCAGAATTCCTGTTTTTTGTTTCCATTTTCCATGCCAAACAGAAACTTTTGTTAAATGCTTTGTAGCCCAACCATGCACCATTGCCAACTCATCCGGTAATGTCCAACCGGGCTTTTCTCAACCCCTCCCTCCCTCTCTCTCTCTCATTATAACGTGATTATGGGTGTCAAGGCTGTGTTTGGTTTGACAGAAAATAAGAGAAACACGAAGTTCTCAAGGAATTTCACACAATTCCTTAAGAACTTTCCCTTTACTATCTTTTTCATTTCTCATATCCCTCAAACCAAACATAGCCCTAAGTGTTGAGTGAATTTAAACCTAGCTGGCCAGGGTTTCAATGGGGCAGCATGTAAACTTAAATGGGGACTCAGTCCTTATCACTAGCTACTGACTGTTAATTGGTCCAAGACATTCATGGGAGACAACTTTTTTTTCCTAAAAGTTTTGTGGTACAAACTTTAAATGTTGCAATATGAACTCTGTATGTAATATTGAATTGGGATCATAATGCATCATTTACAGATCAAGGTTTATTTTTGTTGTTTACAAAAAAAAAAACATTTTTATCTCACAAAATTGTATTTTCTAATTTACATGTACATGTCTTACAATTGAAATATATATATAAAAAAAAAAATTCGACTTTGACTTTTATAGTCTTGACAAAAGAAAGAATAAATAGTAAAATAAATAAATACTGTTTTTGGATGATGGATCAGACCTTTTTTAAATGCTTCAAATTGATTATTGAAAGTGATGTTTAATTAATTTTCACTTCCTACAATGCATTCTATAAACAGGATAAATAAATAGAGTGTATAATTGGTCCAGCAAAATGAGCAGTGGTGTAATGAGGGAGGGTGTGTCCATATCAAATGTTATGTGGATGGTGGACCGCAAGGCCACAATTTCCCATATGACATGCAGCTCACATAGTGGGGTTATGAGGTATCATCTTCCACTCTTTAATAAGTGTTTATTGTACAGATATTTAGAACCAATCAAAGAATGATGATTTCCATCTACAAAGGTTCCCTTAGCATCATTACAATTAGATACCTGCAACTGAAATATTTATTGATTCCATTGAGTGGATAAAGATTTCATCAGATATCCCAATAAAATAATCTACAACTCAGAGGTTGAAAAACATAAATCCTCATATTTTCTGTAGGCAGCTTTTTGGGTGTCACTCCTTCAATGTGGCTGTTGAAGAAAAATAGTACAAGGTATTATGGGTGTTCCACTTTTGTTAATGCATACTGAATTAAAAAGACAAATCATTTAGCTCTTGATGAACACCATCAGAGCAATAATACTGCCTTGATCAGAACTTCTGTATATAAAAAATTAAGAGAAATCTTTGTTCCCTCTTAGACTCTCTCTTCCACCCCATCAGTCACCTCTGATTGGGTCTGATAATTGATATATGACATGCCTTTTTCTTTTCTTCTCTCTTCACCAGTTAGTTTTGAACCTTTGACCTATTTTAAACTTTTAATTTCACAAACAAGGCTACAGAAGAGTTGGTATATATGACATGCCTGGGAAAGCTACTTTTGACTCTGGTTAGGTACTTGGCAGCTATGGGTGTCAATGGACCAGTTTTAGACTGGGCCCGTCTGGTTTAAAATTAATTTGAATGGATTAAACAGACCAATAAGATATATTAAATTGGACCAATTCAGTCCAAAATATTTATTAAATTGGATTGGATTAATCTGATCCATTGATATAAGGTTAGAATATATATATCAATAGATCGGATTTAAATTAAAACCAATCTAAATTAAAACAAATTGAATGATCCAAACATTGAATTAGATTGATCCGAAATATTCATTGAATTGGATTGGACCAAATCCACTCCAATTGACACCCCTAAAATGGCAGCAAAGTCTGAACTGCCATGAGAAAAACATGAGGTGGCCTGCAATAAATTTCGTGTAACTTATATTTGTTAATTTAATTTTTCCTTGGGATGATGTAATTAAGACAAAGCTAAGCAAGTCAAATTTAGACTTTGGTTAGGAACGTGGAAGCAGAGCCTGGATTCCCATGAGTAAACTCTAAAGCACCCATCGTCAAAGTTGATCTCCACCATTAGATGATGTGGGTGACCCACCAATCAATCCACCATCTTGATGTTTTCATGGGTTTCAATCAATCAATGGCACTTTTGTATTATACGTGGGTGTCATTTGTCCATTTACATGCAGATATTTGTGGGATTTGTCTGGCTTTCTGGAAGGGTTTCAAAAAGCATTAATTTGCAGTTTTTCTAATGAGAGCGACTTAATTTGGAGTAGATTCAGCTAACAACTACCGATTAATCCGATCGGATGGTTATAACAGTAAGATCTATCACATCATTTTGATGAAGTGTAAATTCTTCAAATCGGTACAATTTGCTTTGGTGGGACCCATCAAATTGTAGATTTCGTTATTTTATATTATATGTAATGAACAGTTTTTTCATACACTTTTATTTTATAAATTTCCTTAGATTTTTTAGACCCTCTTTGGCGTTTTTCCTTAGTGCAGGCTGTTTAGAAGTTTGGTAGACCATATTTTCATCTTTTCCTGTTCTGTTTGATTGGGGAAAATCTAGTTGTCAAAAGATTCTAATTCGAAAAATGCAAAAAGTCAATTTTGGGTTATTTTCGAAAAATTCTAAATAAAGTTTTTCAACTTTTTTTCATTTCATTTTCGTGCGAAAAAATATACCTGGGCTGCTAAGATATTTACGTAAAAACCCACTATGTCTATCGGCAGTCAGATCTTTCAAAAGAAAAAAATACTTGCCAAACTATACTTTAGTAATTGTCATTGACGAAAAGCATTTTTCTCATTTGTTAATTGGAGTAAAAAAACCTTTATTATATTCTCCTTAGTTTGTTTTTTATAAGTCTTGTTTGGTTGTAAAGTCATTCAGTTCCGAGGAGGACAAAAGTGGGCCTACATGGTGCTGAGAATACGATTCAAAGCAAACGCTACTCCACAAGTCTGTTGTTTGTCTCGTGCCTAACTATACAAGATATAAAATAAAAAAAGCACTTCTCTCTGTCATGTAAAAACAAAAAAAGTGGTTTTAACTTTTAACTCAAGCTCCAAGTGGGTATTCTATAATTGTAATTTATGGAGTCTTGTCATATTAATTTAGTAATTACTTTCACTAAAGAGTCGTCTAATGTGAACCTGCAAATTGCTATCTTGACCTTGACTTAATAAACGGGTTAGCTGGAAAATGAAATGTCCATATTGAGAACTAATCCGGATCCATTTAGAGAAATCAAACCGAATCTACAAGAGTAGCTAGGCAGGCCATTGCTTTAGGCTGTGTTGTCAAACCCGGATTAGATTGGACATTTCACATTTGTTATGGGTCCTGGTTTTCTAATGGAAATTCCACTAAAACGATGTATCGGGGACCTAGTAAGCCATACGGTTTCGGGTCCCACCCATATTTGATTTGATAGCACCGAGTGGGCTGCGTGTCAAATTTGGATAGGGTATCTTGGAATTTAATACAATAAGAAAATTGTTATCTTCAAATCTGATTTTCAATAATTCAAATCAGATTGAATCAATATCTGATTCATTTGCAGCCTTTATGTCTATTTAAAATGTTTGATGAGAAAATCTAAAAAAAGCCCAAAATTACTATTATTCAACCCGAAAAATGGCTTTTGTTGAAACTTATTTTAGTGCCCATTTAGGAGGGTTGAATTACTGCAGCTTTTGGCTTTTTGAGGTGGACCGTATATAAACAGTTTTTAAGCTATGTTTGTTAAAAAATCTAGAGATCTCAAATCAGACTTTCAGTCATTTTTGGGCTATCCACTTCAGCCTCTTTAGATAGTTTGTTTGGAGTGTTTCAAAGCAACTGAATCAACTTAATTAAGTGATAAACTCAGCTCCCAAATGGGCGTTTAATGTTTTTCTACAAAACAGCTTAGCAAAAGCAGATCAATGAAAGATTCAAAACCCAAGGGCCTGTTTGGAAGGGCTGAAATGTAAGGTTTTTAAAAATGAATCAGACAACAAACTGTTCAGGGGTTCGGTTTTTGAGGTTGAACGGTTTGACTGTTTAAACCAAATGGATGATCCGTTCTGATAAAAAAATAAAGAAATGGCCAAAAACTGTTGGACAGTTTAAACGGTTTGATCACTCGGGTCAACGGTTTGCTGACCAAATCAATGATTTTGAGCCAAAAGACGATTTTGAGATAAAACAGAACTGGTCAGATGACTGATTCTCGGTTTTTCGGTCTGACCGTCTGGTCCGGTCTGATTTTAAAAACACTGCTGAATGTTGATTGAACCGTTTTGGAGACGTCACTAGAAGTTCAGCAGGTCATGTTTAGGGCATCTACCAAACATGGTTTACAAGCTTTCTGGGTGAGGCCCACTTCTTAAATCCAGAAGCCGCTGCTAGAAAACCATCCCAAACGGGCCCAATTACTATTGAGTCAAACAGCAGCAGCCGCTTACCCGCTTTCCCGAGCGGTTTTTTTGTGGTTCGGGTACTCCTAACCCAATTTTTCTAAAAACCCGCTTACCCGCTTTCCCAACCTTCTCTTTCAAACCAAACACAGCCTTGGGTCAAGTTTGAAGTCAAGCATTTCCCATTTGACTCGAATTCAATCTCAACGTCACATCACCACCCCTTGATTTTCTAATCGCATGGATGAACGGATAATACTGCAGCAATGCAACTTACTAGATGTATTTAGTCATATTCTAACGTTTCTCAGCTTAATAAAGTAACTGCCCGAGGCTCATTTATTAATGAGCAGCAAATCCCTCACCCTATTTTCACGGATTAAGAGGAGTGAGTTCCTTTGAAAACTCAGTAAAAGAGTAGCCAGCCCTTAATTCCAAAAAGGGTAAAGCGAAAACACAATATTCCACTACTCTCGGACCCACGAGTGGACTTTAGCTGAAATAAAGAAGGATATTTTGGTAAATGTAGGGATACAGTTGTTCTTTTTCTCAGAATCTAATGAGCCAAGAAATGAAGGCCGTCGTCGTCTGAACATGGAGCTTCACAGTTTGAAGACGGTGAGAGAGAGAGAGACCCGCCTTTTTCTTTATAAACCCAATAAATGTCTCCACGTGATACTAAACGAGGTTCAAGAGAAGAGTTGAATTAAAAGACAAGGATTAAAATTTGAAATTTTTATAAAACTGTGAACACGATTTGCTTGTTTGGATGGAAAGAAAAATGGCAAGAAAATAAAAAGGAAATGAAAAATATTTGATTTTCCATTAACGCCCGGTAACTTGAAGGAGAGTTAGCAGGGAAAAGAAGAAGAAAAAGCCGATAAAAGGGTTTATTCTTGAGTCGCTTTTTCTCTTTTTTCTCTCTTTTTTTTCCTGGTTATATTGACTGATGGAGCATCACTTCTGAAGTCACTGTTTCTCTCTCTCTCTCTCTCTCTCTCTCTCTCTCTCTCTCTCTCCATCTTTTCAGCAAAAGAGGGAAGTTGGGTTTTCACGACCGGCGAATCCAAGGAGGTACCCTTCTCGGTTTTTATTTGTGTGTAAGTAGATAATTATTTAACTTTCTGGACTATAAGTTTAGTGGAATATCTGCAATATAGATCTTGGCTCTTTTTTTGTCTTAGTTCTATTTTTTCTTCTTGTTGTTCATAACCTCAGAGAGAAGTAGGAATTGGGTTCGTTTTTTACATGCTTGTTTTATATAAAAAATAGCTTTCTTTTTTGTCAAGGGTGTCGGTTTTTTTTCGTGGTTCCCAGTTTCAGTAGAATTAAAGGAATTTGGCTTGTTTGATAATTGTTCTTATTTTTGTTTTGGAGGTAATGTTGGGAGTTGTCTATTTTTTCTGGAATTGATTGTTTTTGTTCTTCTCTTTCGGTGAAGAATCAGGTTATCAGTTCACTCTTCGACGTATTTGTTTGATATCCTGAAGAAAACTAGAAGCAATTTGAAGATGTTATCTTCTTGTTAGTCTCACTTTTAGAGTTACAATTGAGTGTTTCTGCATTAATTTGATTGTTTCTTAAATCTTGATCGTTCTAATTTCAATAGAGCTTTATGAATTCTGATTGTTGTGAAAAATTTCTGACTTGGCTTGAGAGATGGACGTTTGATGGGTTTATCATTTACGGTTTGTTCTGTGCTTCGTACCTTGTATTATCCAATTGGTTTCAGAGCTATGCTTGGTTGTATTGAATCTTGAACTTGGGTTTTGGGGCACTGTATGTGCAGCGTTTTTTGATTGATACATTGTATTTGTAGAATTAACTTGGATCATGGTGTGCTGAAGAAATAGATGGAGGAAAAGCAATTGGATTTTAATGCTCCACTTCTGTCTGTGAGGCGTTTCTCATCTATAACAGCTTCTTCAGGAGAGGAGAGTAAGAGAATTGAGAAGTCTCAGCGAAAGATACCTTCTTTTCCTTATCACAAGTCGGATTTGAAATCAGGGCCTGTTAGAAATCCTGGTGCAGTTCCATTTCTATGGGAGCAGATCCCAGGAAGACCAAGGGATGGGGATGCACTCCAAGCACGGCCTATTGAACCCCCAAAGCTTCCACCTGGGAGAGCTTTTGGTGTTAAACAACAGTCTTCAAACAAGGAACCTGAAGATCCAAATGCCATCAGACCCCAAGCTAATGATATTCATCCTAGTTATAAAATTTCATCTTTGGATGAAAATGTAACTGCGTTGGATAACTTGAAGGAGAGCTTGAAGGAAAAAAGGGATGCAGATACTGAGGAAGATGTTGATGAAGCCTTTACAGATGCACTTGAAACATTGTCAAGAACTGAATCATTCTTATTGAACTGTAGTGTAACCGGGTTGAGTGCATTGGATGGTCCAAACATGAGACCATCTGGAACTTTCTCAACAGATCCACAGACCAGGGATTTCATGCTGGGACGTTTCTTACCTGCAGCCAAGGCAATGGCTGAGGAGACACCTCAACATACTTCAAGAAAGCAACCTCTGCCACGTGAACAACAAAGGCAGGTGAAGGTGGTAAGTGAAGATAGGCGGCCTCCACAATATCATTATAAGCCTTACATGTTGCCACAATTTCCTATGGATCAAGGGGAAGAAGAAAGTGAAGATGAAGATGAAGAAGATGGTTATGATGATACTGGGAATTTATCCGCAAAAGCTTGTGGGTTATTTCCTCGGTTTGGCCTAAAGAACTCCTTTTGCCTTCTAAATCCAATCCCAGGAATGAAAGTTAGGAATCACGTGCCCATTTCTTCTGTCCGTAAGGTTGGTACACGGGTCAAGACTGGACATTCTAGGCCTCACATGGAAATAAATGATGAGGTAGTTCTCTCTCTCTCTCTCTCTCTCTGTGCCTGGGAATATTGCTCTTGTCTCATGTCCATATTTTTGTTGTTTGCTCTGTTCTCATGCATTTTGCAGCACACATGGGATGCTGTCTATAAACACAAATTAGCTAGTCGACTAAAACCATCTGGGGTCCTTGAGGATGAGACTAAGCTGACAAGTGAATCTAACCATCTTACTTATTCAAGTGATTCTCAAACACCAGATGGCTCCTCTCCCTACAGGATATTACCATATCGGAATGAAGCACCTCGGTCTCCTTTTCATGAAGGATCAGGATTTCTTGGCATTCCTAGAGAAGTTAAAGATCGCAAGGCTAATGGTTTAGATTCATATAATAAAGGTGGTAACTGTTTAAGAGATATATTATTCCACCAGAACAATAAGCAAGAGTTGGGCTCGTTGAGCCCTATGGTTGAGAAAACTCTCTATGTAGACTCTGTACACACAGTGGAGACTCCAAATTCAAAGTCAAGTTCTGCAAATTCTAGGACATTGATGGATACCAAAGATAAAGATTCTGAAGTTATGGGAGAAAGTATGATGGAAGAAGAAAACCTTGCAACTGGTTCTTGCATTGAAAATATTAAAAACCTTAAAATCTTGGAGGATAAACGCATATTGGATCCTAAAATATTTGGGGTTGTTGATTCTGATCTACCTTGTTCTGCAGAAAGGTCAATTCTTGGAGGGCAGATAGACAGAACAGAGGGCTCCAGACAGGATACTTTTCTTGATCAGGAATCAAGGTCTGCCTTGTGTAAAGAAGTGCCTACTGATGCAAAATTGGATTTTGATAACTCACAACCTCTATCAGCAGATAATGATGATGGAAATTCTTGTACCAGCTCTTTAAGTGCTCTTCTTCCCCCACCTTTACCAAAATCACCTTCTGAGTCTTGGCTTTTACGTGCCTTGCCTTCCATTCCCTCAAGGAATCCCTCTTTACGGTCATACCAAGGCACACGGTTCAATCTCAGAAAGCAGCTTTCTGAAACTTCTTCCAATGATCCCAAGTGGGAGACGATTGACAAATCTTCAAATACAAATGCAGACTATTTACGGTATTCTGAGGTAATTTTGTCATTCTTCCTTTTTGTAGTTCACATTGAGTTGCTAAATATTTGGGACAAGGTTGTTAAATTGATTTGGATTTTTCTTCTTTTTCTTTTTTCTGGGAGAGTTGAATTGATTTTCACCTACATTCTTTTGCATTTTGTCAGGAATTAATAACACCTCCATCCCTGCAAGCAGGAACATAGAACTGCAAAGGCTTATCCTAAATTACTTGAGCTGAATTGTTTTTCCAATCAATGAATTAAAAGGTAATTAAAAGCTTCTCTATATATTTCTTTCTTGGTGGGTGCCGTGGTACTTTTTCTAATTGTTTACTTGTGCTATTATAGGTTAATGAAATTCAGTGGTCGAGTTTCCATTTTGTAACTAGAAGTATACATGTAAGTTAATTACTGTTTATTCTCTTCTCTTTCATGGAGCAGATCAGTAGTTATACATCTCTGGATTGGTTTCTTGTAAAGGTCATCAAATTCATTGAATATCAAGTTCACTGGTGCAGTTTCCTTTTATGATTATGTTGTAAACTGAATGAACAGCCATTCTATATAACAGAATAAGCTGCCAAATTGGCAACACAAACACAAAGTCATTCACGGTTTGGTCAAATAAGAGGCCTTTTGTAACTCTTAATGAAGGAATTTCTCTGGCAGATACTTGTCTGCTTTAGCTTCAGTTTCTACTAGTTGTGTATTGATAAGTTGGAAACTAGATACAATTCAAATACTGCTCTTTTAACATGTTTGTACAGGACTTGGTTGAATTCCCGTATGCTATACTAGTACTAATTTGTATCTTAAACTTCATTCTTTCAAGACTTAAACATGGACTATGGATATCTATGCACATCTTGATGGTTTCTTTCTATTCATTTTCGAGTTTCTCTTAAAAATGTTTTCCCTTGGAAGAACATCTTCTCCTGAAATCTGATAATAAAATGTTATGGGCCCGGGCGTAGGATCTCGTCACGGGTCAGTCCACGGGGAGAATCTCTAGTTTCCCCTTACCCCTCCCTTTGCGTGTAGACCCTATCGTGGCGACCTAAGGGGTGATTTGTCCAAGAGATCACCCTAACTCTCCTTTACTCTTCTCTTGACTGAAATTTTGGATGCCTTTATTCAATAATAG